TTCAGCAGCATCTTTTTATTAGCCTTTTTCCATCATCCTTTGGAGTTTGAATGCAAGTAAAATGCCAAACAAAGCAACCAAGCCCTATATTGGGAATTGAGCTTGCATTCTTACACAGATGTAGTCTTACCAATATTAATAAAACTTATGAGCTATGCATAGTCAGATGCGTCGAACTGCAATAAAAGGAAAGTTCCAAATGTTTCTCACCTACAGAGATTTTGTTTTTTTCTTGTAGAAAGTGATTACCAAGTATGGCAGTATTGGATAAAAGCCTCATTTGAACAATAACTCCTTGCAGTCAGTGAATTTGCGCGCACACAAAAAATGAGCATATAAGCCTCATCTTTAGAATAATATGGGGGGAAATTACATGCTTTCAGAGCCTGATTATCAGGTTCAGTAAATGGAGGCAGAATGAGGTAAAAGGAGCAGGATTTAATTTGGAGGTGCTGTAATTGAGATGGAGGCTGATACTACCTGGCCACATCTGACTTTATTTTGTTACTTTGTTTTATTTATTCTAATTCCCCTTTTAAGTTGTTCTGTTTCTCTTGTTGTAAGGCACTCTAAGCCTTTGTTGGGAAGGGCAGCCTATAAATCATATAAATACCATCTTGGTATGGTGTGGGGCAAAGATGCAGACAAGTGCATTAGTTTTCAGGTCAACCAGAGGCAGGGAGAGGTGAGTGTGTGTATACATAAACAAGGTTTTGTTTTGTTCTGTTTTGTTTCCCCAAGTGTGAGCTAGAAGAGCTATCCTTATAGCACTCCTTCCCTTCAGTGAGCAGCTGTATTATAGCAGGGAGGCAGAAGAGAGAATTTGCATCAATAACAGCTGTGCACATAACTGATATGCATGTTTCATTTTGTCTGCCTTATGTCTTCCCATTTTCTCCAGACTCGTGAATCTACTCCAGAGTAATCAAAAACACTTGGGAGGTTTAATTTTTCTAAGTCCCCTTAATCTGTCTGTGGCTTATGACCTTGACAGGGCCCATCAATAGGGCAGTCGCAATCAGCATACCATTGGTAACATTGTGTATTGCCATAAAGGGATACTGGAAGTCAATACCTGAGGTCGTCCCTGTGTGTGTGGACTACAGACAACATCCTCTATTTCTGTGGCATAGCACAGTATCACTTGCTTACAGTGCCCCTCTGCTGTTGACATTGGACAGACAAGGCAATCCCTACATATAAGAATGAATAAACTCCAATTTGAGATCAGTTCTAGACATGCAAGTGTGTGGCAGAAACCTTTACCGTCCCTGAACATTCCTTCAGACCTCAGAATTAACTTGAATGTAAAATTGTTGAACAAGAAATCATCTATAGACTGGCTTGTTTAACCTGAAGCTAAAGATGTAAAAATGCAGAAGCATATCCAGGATTTTACAAAGGGGGATGTGGGAGCACTGGCTGGCGCTGCAGGGTTAGTTGCACCTCCAGCTCCCAGCTTCCTCTTCTTCCTCCTTCCCCCCAACTCCACCCTGCACCAGGATGGGCATATTGCGCCATGTAAGCAGCAGCCAGGAACCTTAAGTCCCCAAAGAAGGTAAGAATTCCTTTCCCCATGCTCGGAGGCATGTCCTTTCAGCTGTCCCCATCCGCCTATCTTCGTCCGCCTGTCACTGTCACTGCCATTCTAGTGGTGAGGGAAGCTCCAGAGCCACTCCAGCTAGGCTGCACAAGGGCTGGAACCTGTCCACCTGTTACTGCTTTTGCTGCTGTTGCTGCTGCTGTCCTGGACTGAACCCAGCCCTCACGCAGCTGAGCTGGAGCAGCTCTGGAACTCCTCCTGCCCTTGGGACAGTGGCAGTGGCAGACTGGGGAGGAGGGAATGGGAGGGGAGGGGATATGCCTCTGAGCTTGGAGGGGAAGAGAGGGGTGGAATTCTTGCCTCCTTTGGGGCCTTTAAAAAGTCTTTGTCTTGTCTTTTCTTAATAACTTGAGAGAAAAGAGGTTGTTAAACTCTGACAAATTTTGGTGCTTGCTGCATGTAAAATTTTGACAGAAAAGCGCATGTGTAGAATTCTGTTTGCAAGAATGCAGGTAAGGGGCAGTCTTCATTGAAAACTTTTCAAATTTTTGTTCTTTATCTACCTGATAAATTGATTTTCAAGTATTTGGGATTCTCTATGTATTTGAGATGTTTTCTTACAGTTTCCTTAACACTTCTGTTGTATTTTAGGAAGATGTGGAGACAGGAGTCCACCTCGACCCTGCTGTCAAGGAAGTTCAGTATAATCCCACCTATGACACCATGTTTGCACCAGAGGTAGGAAACCAACATTTTTAAACCTGAAATGTTTATTCTTCCACATTGGCATACCACCATGAAATGCATTCATCTTAAAAGGAGTATGTCCTGCTAATGATGCTGATGCAAAATTCAGGCATTACAATGCCTCCCCCTCTTGGTCTATAAATGTGAAGTTCTCACTAAAGATTGGGTTCTGGTCCTGATCTATAATGGTATGAACTGGGAAAACTAAAAGACACTACACAATACAAACAGGTACCCAGGGAAGCTGTATTTTCGTTTCCTTGAAAGCTTTTCTAATAAAAGAACTCTTGTACCAAACTACAGACTAGGAAGGCTAAACACAAAATAATTTGGATCATTCTCCTGTTAATCTAAATCTGTCGTTCTCAGCCAGAGTGCGGTGGCACCCAGGGGTATCTTGAGATGGATCTCTTCAGGGGTGCCATGGAATGCCACTCAATATTAGCACTATTAGGTATGAACATGATTCACAAGATAAACCCTGAAGCTTCAAATATGTATCAGTAATGTTAACTACATTTGGTGTGGTCTTTCAAAAGTACATTGCAGCAGAAAAAATGGTCTAATAGCTACCAGTAGTCAAAAAATGAGTAACAACTAAGTGTTGGTTTTCCTATGGGTTTAAAAAAAGTGAGAATGTCTGATCTAGATATCAATAGCCAGCACAAATAGATTGACTGAAAAACTAAATGTTTGGAGTCTTTTTGGCTTTCTTGAAAGTCACTTAGAATGTTGGAAAGTAATACTGATAGTTCTATAGCTACCAGGAAATGGGGTATATTTTAGTCTAAAACTAAACCCCGGTGTTATCAGTATGACTTTATTCATGTGACATTTAACTTTAATTATTTAACTTAATATTAAAACACTAAATGAGCATGGGGCAAGTATGCCAAATTCTTTTAGTTTGAAATTGGTCTTCCTCAGAGCAATTTGACCATATTTTCTATCTTAGGTTGTCAGTTGCTGAAAAAGAGTTACCAGAAAGAATAAAAATAATCATCTTAAGCCATGCATTTATACATATTATAAATCTAAAATAAATGTTAGTGTTATGATTAGGTGTAAGAGTTAATGTTGCATTTTAGACAAAGGTAAAAATGGTATTTTAGTTCCCTAAAGAGTTGGAGACTGAGTAGACCGATTCTGCATCAATCTTGCATCAATTATGCTTGGCTTGTGCTTGGGAAATTTACTATCCAACCATAGGGGCTAGACTCTTTGTTTTGGTTTTGGGTTTTTTTGTTTAAAAAGACCTTGCATTTTGCTGCTTTCACCAACCCAGTTCAGTCCACAAATACGAAACTACTGATCAGGTCATTGTTTTACATACGTATATTTTACTTAGAAAATCTAATTCAGGACAGTTCCAGGTCCTTGTGGTGGCAGCCAACAAACACAGCATTATGGTTAGACTTAGTCTGAGAAATATTTTAATGTATTGTCCTTCATTTTCACCCACTCAACCATGTTTTCTCTCTAGTAATTAGCTTCCTATTCAAAAAACATTACTTTTCTGGAACTTGATAGTACACAAATGTTATAAACGCTCTTGCTTACTAGTTATGTAAAATATCTGATACTTCATATAACCACAGTTGAATGTAAAAGTATGGTACTTTAGTACAGCTTAAGATAGCTTCACTTTTTAAAAGGCTAGGGCATTATGATTGTAATTCCTTCTCTATGCATTTCTTCCCCTCCTAAATGTTTGTATGGCTTGTCCTTGGCACCAGTGGTGAAGGAAAGAAGTTCTCTTGCAAAAACGACTTTGTACATGAAAAGACTCAAACAATTATTTAATACACGTCAGGTTCTTTTATTAGTCTGACCTGTATTCAATAGCAATAAGGAGAAAGGAATCTGAAGTCACTGTATTGCACTTCTTGAATGTCAAACATTTCTTGGCTATAGAAATTGTGAGAAATTATTATAATATGACTTACTAGGATAGAACTGTCTGATAGCATAGTGAACGTTCTTTATATGCTTTTTTTTTTTTTTAATTTTGATGCAGTTTGGGCCAGAAAACCCATTTAGGACTCAACAGATGGCTGCACCTAGGAATATGCTTTCTGGATATGCAGAACCAGCACACATCAATGATTTCATGTTTGAGCAGCAGAGAAGAACATTTGTAACCTATGGTAAGACCCATGCCTCTTCATATTTGAAGCCTTGGATTCTTGTAAGTCACTGCTCTGATGTGGTTGTGTTTGGCAGCTTCTGTACAAACATGCTATTCTTTACAGGACAGTGAATAGGACTGCAAAATCTGTGGCTGCAGCAATAACACTTAAATACCATTTCATGGGAATTCACAATGTGCTGGGTCATAACATTTATCTTGGAATTTTTTCTTAAGTCTTTCTGAAACTTTAATCAGAAACCACCATGAGTTGTTGATATGTAGAAAATAAAAATCACCATTTCACATTTTGATAGTGGCAAACAATTGTAAAGCCATTATGCCGCATTCTAACAAAATTTAACTTTGAAAGTGAATAGCTTTACTGTAATACAAGGTTCTTCAGGGTTGTTGTCTGTCTGGATCCACACTTTTTCAGACTTCTCTTAGTGATTTATAAATTAATGGAAAGAAATCTACTGTTTTGGGCAACTCCCTCTTTTACAGTCATGTGTCTAGTAAGATGAGTGAATGAAGCCTCAGGGTATGGACAAATGTGCATATGTAGCTGCTAGGCCTGTGCGAGGCAACTAGTATTCACTTCGGATTTGGCTGATTCAGGGGACAGTTATTTCATTTAGTGATTCGAATCACTGTCCCGAATTGATTCGGCCGAATCTGATTCAGAGATTTGGCTACCGCCAAATCAGCTGAATCTGAGTCAAATAAGCCCCATCCCCCGCCCCGCCCCAGGGTCCTAGCTCTTTAAAAAAAAAAAAAAGCCTCCTGCCTGGCTTTTGCCAGGCAGAGGAGCGATCCCTGCTACCCCCCAGTGCCCCGTGCTGCATGAGAGAGTTCTGCCATGAGCCCTCAGAAGTCCCAACAGCTGCTGCAGCACCCGATGAGTGCAAGGCTTTTTTTTTTAAAGAGCCAGGATGCCCTCCCTCCCTCCTCCAGACCTCCCCCTCCCCCGCCCCCTACTTACTGGCACGGAGTCTGGGTCCAGCTCCCTGCAGTGGTAAGCAGGGACAGCCTGAATCTCCGAAGATCTACGAATCAATTCAGAGACCTTCAAATCAATTCGGACCTTTTTTATTGGTCTCTTGATTTGATTCAGAGGTTCAGTAGCCGAATCTCCTCCAAATCATAGCAGCAGCTGAAGCTTCACACAGCCTTAGTAGTTGCTTCAAAAGAGGAGGGGGGGCTGCTGCTGGGAAGCACACAAACTGTTACTTTGTAACTGTTATCTGGGCATGATCCTACAGAGATACACATGAGTTAATTTGCTCTACTTTGACCCTGGATGAAACAGAGTCAAATTTGGAGCAGTTTTGCTCCACTTGTATTGCTTCAAGTTCATGCATAAATGACTTAGTCTAACAGCTGCTGAGCAGTCTTTAGCAAGTAACTTCCCCTCTCCTTTTGAAGCTTCTGCAAGTATAGGTTTGGCCATGTCCTCATTGGTCTTGCTAGAAGCTTTGAGCTATTGTGCTAATGGTATTCTTTTTGTCATCTGGGCAGTTACGTTGCATTGTTTCAGCGCAAATAACTTTCAAATAGTTAAGGTTTGAAAAAGCATAAAAAAACCCTTATTTTGAATTTGTTCTTTAGGTTAGCAAAGTACTGTAGCCTATTTAGGGTATTTAAAATCAGGTATATTCATAGTGTTTGCACTCTGCAGATATATTTAAAGAGTGGAAGTGCTTGGATATTTCAGTGTAGGATTTTATTTTTGCATTTAAAAATTGCCTACAAGTGCTATGCTGATTTTAAAAATATATACAAATTAATTTATTTTCCTTCTTTCAAACTATAAGCATTTTTTAATTGGGAAGATCCTGAATTATCTATACTTCCTGTAATACCTAACTCTGCGCTATTGTTTTAAAACAGCACATGTTGATTTCCTTTAAAGTTCTATTTAGAATTTAAAACCACAGTCCTGCAAGTCATAGTTTGGCACAACAGTTTGTCCATCTGCTTAATTCTGTAAACATCATTGAGTGTCCTGTACACATGGTATAATTTGTCCATGTGCTATCAATTGCAGAATTGGGGCTTTATGATGTAAATTATGGGAGCTAGAATCGGTGAGCCATTTTACTCATACAAAAGAAAGAATGGCCTAAAATAGGTACTTTAACCAGTCATAAAATAGCATTTAATGAATATGTCTTCATTTTTCTCTTTCAGTTTCTTCAGTGGGTTTTTTGCTGCTTTAGCTATTCTTTTTCTCTAAAGCATGTGAATCTTGACTACATAATTTTGGGAGATGGGTATTTTCATTCATTGATTATATCATTGTGCAGTAGTATTAGCAGAATTTTGTTTGACCAGAGAATGATCTTTAACTTCATACACTTCCCAACCAAACTTATGAAGTAACATGTAGCAGTGAGTAAAATTTGGGAAAAGGTGGGCAGTAATTAGATATTTCAGCATATAAGTGGACAGATTTATATTATTTCATATGCCAGTGCATTGTATTTGTTTTCTGTAGATCTTGGATACATTCTGGGAAGGGGGAGATAATAAAAATTGGATTTTTGGTGTCTGGAAAAGGAAGCTGATAAGAGGAAATCCTGCTCAAACCTCTTTCTACTCTTACTGGTTCTGTATGTACTGTTTCTACATGCAGCAGTTACTCTATACTTACCTTAAAAGAGTGAAAATAACTTTCAAGAGAAACTGAAACAGTGGAAAGAGTATCTTTAGGATTTTTTTTATTTGTTCTGAGTTGGTTCAATATATAAAAGACTTCTGGAATTGATACAAGTGGATCAGTGAAAAGGCTATGGTAGGCCATGTAAACCAGAGAAGAACCAGCACTAGCATTTAGGAGGTGCAGTAAATAAGCATTATGATGTCTCAGCACATTAGCAAGTTTGTTCTGACTTGCTATAAATATAAAATACATACGCTACTTAAATACGCTGCTAAGCACTTATGCCTGTGTAGTTGTATATAGGCAATTCTATCTTGAATATTGTTCAAAGAAAGGAGATAAATTTTTTTTTTTACGGAAAATGTGGATTAGTAACGGAGCACAAAAGCAGCTCCTTGGTATAAATCAAGGTAGTAAGCAGTACTGCTGACTCAGCTTAAGCATATTGTAAAAAGTCTGCCAAGTAAGCCATCTTATTGGAAACTACAGATTTCAAAAGCCACCTATCTCCCTCGTTCGGCTGCTTGGCCCCATTAAGGTTAATTGGCATTTGTTTTCTAGAGAGAGGTCTTTAGAAATGTAGATTTAAATATGTTGTAGGATAAGCTAGCCTTGTAAGTGAAGGTTCTGCTGTTGACTCTTTTTAAAGAAAGGCAAGGGATAAGGACATAGCAGTTTGAAAGGTTTCTGCCTTCTAATTAATGTGTTTTTGCTATTTTTTTTAAATTAGTCTCATTGTACAAGAATGCAAGTTTTACACATGATTCTAATATTAAAAGCCTAAGTCTGCCTGTCACGCTTTATTTGTGCTCTGACTGGCTGACAAACAGCCAATCAGAGCGCAAAGAAGTGTTCTGACAGAGGTAGCCCACCATTTTTGATGGTGGGGATACCAGGGATCGGGGGGCGGGCAAAGCCAGCACAGCTGGCCTCGCCCTCCCCCTGCCCATCCGCCCTGCTTCCTGGAGGCAGTGGCAACAGAGAGGCCTCCCCCACCCCCCTCCCCCATGTCAGCCCTGAGCCTGCTCCTCCCATCCCCAAGTGGGCCTGATGCAGGGGCAGGGGGGAGGAGCAGGCGCGCGGTGGCAGTGGGGCCATGGGAGGACTGGCAGTGACAGTGGGGCCAGGGAGGAGTGAGCCTGAGTCGAGGGGAAAAGCCGGCCTACCACGGCAGTGGGTGGGACAGCAAGCCTGGCCCAGGCCAACACAACAGCTGCTGGGAGAGGCGAGGAGCAAGCTTCCTCCCCGCGTTGGGCCCAGGCCCAATCCTCTCCCACTCCCCTACGTTGGCTCCATGCCTGCTCCTCCGGTTGGCCCAGGCCCACTGCTGCTCACCCCCTTCCCCCCCCACCACGGCAGCCCAGCTTCTCCAGCTATGTCCACGGGGTCCATGCAAGATGACTGTGATCAAGGAAAAGCATGTCCACACCTGCACTTACAATCCAAAGGGGGCTACACCTCTAGTTGGAATATTTTAGGGGTCCACAAAGGACAGATGGGTGCAAAACATTGCTCTACTGCCTATTTCTATGGCTCTAGCAATTCCCTACTGCCTGCTGCTGTTGCTTATCCCTACTGCTATTGGCTATATGTGCAGTGGAAACGGCACTATTGCCATCACCAATTGCTGCTGCCTACTGCTATTGGCTATATTTACTCCACCCCCCCCCCTCCCCCCCCCCATTCTTAACAGACAGTTGGCTGACAGAAACAGTCAATCAGAGTGCTCCAAGCATGGGGGAGCACCACCATATCAGTTTTATCAAAGATGGCTGGTAGAATATCTTCTCTCTGGCAAGGCCATTAGTTATTCCTTTTGGCATGCCTTGGGATGGAGAGTACAGATGCCTAAAGGCTTGACTAATCTGCATTCTTGCTATATTTCAACCCTTGGCCATGACTTGGATACATAGAAGGGTCTAAGCCAAACGTTACTTGTCATCCTCATTTGCTTCTTCCCTATGAGTTGTATTTTGTAGAAAAAGAAATCAGCACTATGTGCCTACCCAAAAGGGAACAGATTCAGTCTCTGAAAATGGCTGAATATTAGAGGTGTACTGATACATTGGTCCAATATCAGATCAGCACTGATATAAAGAAGAGTTTCTGTATCAGAAATTGGCCAGATGCGACTGATAATTTGGCTGATAAATGCCTGTGCGTGTGCAGCCGCAGTGCAGCACGTAAGCAGTGAGAGCCAGTAGCATGGAGTGCTGCGTGCAGCTGGTAAATCTCGTGTGGCGGAAAAGAAGGGGCTGGGGGGGGGGTGCAGGTCAAGGCCTCTGTGGTAAGGGAGGGTGTGGGGCTGAGGCAGAGGCTGCCCAGCTGGGGCAGGTGCGGGACTGAGGTCCGGC